AGGAAGCATCAATTCGGGCAAACCAAGGCATTCATCAATGTCCATTCGGGAAGCATCGCTCTACATGAAGACATTAGAAGGTATAAACCAAGCCTAAGCATATCAACAAAGAAAGATAGGAAACTCAAAATACTTGTGCTTTTCGGAGTTGGCTCTTAATTGCAATCTTAAGAGCGGCAGCTTCGTTAGTCAACTGCTCTTTATGGGTATCAACCTCTTGTCGCTGGACGTGAGCTAACTTTATTTCATTAGCTAGATGGTTCAATACATAATCCACTCTTTCACACCACTGAGTAAGCGATGTATGAAGATGGGTAATCTAATCAGAGGGGCTAGTAAAAAAGAAACAAAAAACTACCTCTTCTTGTTTGACATCACGACCTATAGCCGAGTCCACGTCGAGAAGAGCCCTTTGCTGATCAAGTTTGCCCGTGATCGCCTCTAGATACATCAAATCAATAATCAAATCTTCAAGTTCTCTCAGTGATGAAATTGAAAGTTTGTCCATTAATATCTTATAGGGAATTTGTCTGCACGTGTAGGCTTCATCGATAATTGTCAACTGCTTCAACTTCCGAATTTGTGCATCACTAAGATCTGGAAACTGGTCCTTCTTCTGACAATAGTCCACGTAAGACCCAAAGCAAAACAAATCTAAGAGATTCAGGTAGTTGGCATGTGGCCCATCCGCGAGTTGAATCACAATACTTTCCTCCAAAAACTCACCAAATACGAATATACCTAGAGATAATAATAAATAAACCAGCTACTTGGATGTTCGGTGGCTTTCTTGATTATTTCGATAGCCTCATCTGGACTAGCAGTAGCAAGCTGATTAAGAAAAAAGGTGGGCTTCTCAACCGTCATGCCCTTGGACGATCCCCAACTTTAAGATGACCGCGTTGTATTAAACTATACCACATCTTCTTACAAATTAATCAACAATATATACACAGTATTAGCGTAATAATAATGAAGAATATAATAACAATTTTTACTTAGAAAGCGCTTAGTCTATCCAGCCTGTCATTTTA